CCAAAGGGGGGTGGGGAACGGGACCAGTCATACGATGGAGCGACGTGTTGCTGCGCAGCTTCAGGTCGGAGAGCAAAGCAGCGGCTGTCCGCCTCACTCCCTACCCAGGTAGGCTGCAATCCCAGGGATTACACACTCCAGAGCCCCTTTTTTTCGGTTGCAGGTCAGATCCACAGTACTGGTAGTCACAGTAATAATGCTGCAGTTTTCCAATGCAAGGTAGCCAGGTAAGTATATTTTTAATTGATTTTAGGCCGGAGTCCTTGGGAGCTGTTCTGACATGCAGCCAGCCAGCATGGCTGCCCAGCCCAGCCCTCTATTGGCTTCCTCTTACCCTACAGCAGGCATGTCCAACCTTTGGTCCCCCAGGTCTTGTTGAACTACAACTCCCATGATTCTTTCAATGAAACAGACAGCCAGGGAATCATAGGAGTTGTAATTCAGCAACATCTGGAGGGCCGCAGTTTGGACAGGCCTGCCCTATAGAGTGCTGTATTTCGCATGACTTATTCACAATGCTATACTGTGGGTGCACGCCTCCTGCACTATAAAATTAATCATGAATAATAAATTAACCATTTCTGACACGCATAACCCACCGCTAGCTATCCCGTAAGAAAGCCGAAGGTGCAAGTGACATTAGATGTGTTTCCCCCCCCCAGAAAAGTCTTTGGAGAGATGGAATTGAGAGCCCAAGGGGACACTGGAAGGAAGCACGGAATCTGACAAAAAGCCTTGAGGAGGAAATTGCACTGTTTCTGTGTCTTGATCAATACAAGTTCCTGAGGCTGGTGGAGAGAAAGCAGCAAACGGTGATGAAAAATGCATGAGGGAAGGGAGAAAAGGGTCTCCCAGGAGGTGGAAATTAAACAGTACCCGTACATGTGTAGGATATTGACATTGAAATTAAAGTGAAAAACTGAGGAGGTGAAACAAGAACAGGGGGAGCAAGAAAAACACAGAGGAAACGGTTTATTTTTGTGATCTTGCTATCTGGACTCATAAGTCTAGACACATGTTTTATGCACATGTTATTCACTTCCACAGCCTGTTATTGTGTTATTAACCCTTTACAGCAGGGGGGTACAACCGCAGGAGGCCCCAGCAGGACTACAAGACCCATAGTTCTCTGCCAGTCTATGGAGGCCTTATAGCTGTCCTGATTTAGGGGAGACAACCCTGATTTTGGCATTCCAATTTGAGTGGGGTCAGTCAGGAGACTGTCAGTCAGTCCCATCAATTTTAGGCATCACCAGTGACAGAAGTTTTGCCAGTGACATACCCTCCTTTGTATACCTCTTAATTTTGGGAGGTAATTACATGCGTCCCTCATGTTAGTGAGAGTAAATGTATACAGGGTTACCTGCAGACACAAATGGTTGCTGAGAAGAGCTTTTAATAGCATGTTGCAGTGGTTATGGTACCACAAGTGCCCTGGCGCCCTTACTGAGCTAAGCCCGGCATAGCTGGCTCTTCTGGTGGACCTCAAGTAAGTTGCCAAACCATTTGCATACTTATCCTGGAAAGTAATTTTTCTAGCACCATAACCACTACAGTACACTGTAGGGATTATGGTGTTTAGAGTATTCCTTTAATTAGTGAACCCCTCCCACTCTTGCCTGATGTTTGATCCAGGTTGAACTTTAAAAAAAAAAAGGTATGTAATATCACTACAGCGTGTAGTGGTAGCTATGTTGCGTAAAATGTTCTTATGTGATCCCCTTGTCTAATGTCATAGCATGTAGGAACAGTTTGACATGAACTGTGGCTGTTATCGTTCTATGGCTGGAGAGTACCCCCTCCTCAAACACATTGATAATGTGGAATTAACACTAACAATCAATTTTATTTTCATCCATGCTGGAAAGTTAGTGATTGGCTCAGAGTGGCAGGGGTCGGATTAGCCCAGCTCACTCACACTGTCAATGCCATCAGCATGAATTAAATTGACATTGATAATGCAGAAATGTTAATTCTGCAATATCAATACAGTCAAGGAAAGGATGCTGAGAATAGATTTGGTTTATGTCAACCTGTTCGATATTAAAACAGGAGGTGTTCCTTTTACTATACTCATTATATGTTGGTATTTATTCACTAAACAGTGAAATGGCAAAAAACATTTAAAGGGACACTAATGTCACCAGAACAACTACAGCTTAAGTGTTCTTGCATAGAAAGACCACTTAATGTTATCTCACATATATATTATTCTTATTCTTATTATAGCCAAATTTACCACCCTAACTCATTCCACAGTTTTTACACTACATAGACAGTAATATACCGAAACGTACGGATTGTTCCCGATCGGATTGCTATTACTTTGTGGAACGTTTCGCAGAATGGTTCACTGAATATCGTCGTTCTTGTGGCGAAATTGGTCCCATAGGAATGAATGGCAAAATGTTCAAAACTAGAGTGGGAGCTGGCAAAAGCTGAACGATCAGGACATGATTTCTAAACTGCCACCACTCCTTCATTTTCAAGCCCACCTACACCTCATATCAAAACGTTCAGCTATCCCTGCTGCCACTAAAAATGTCCACGGCTAAGCCGTAGTCCTGATCGTTTTCACAATATGACCATTTGTTTGCAACTCACGCCGTCCATTGACATTCATTGAAACTCCACTCCAGCCAGCTTAAATTTGAAGGGCAATTTCTAAACTGCGACTGTGCCTTCATTTCTAATACTTCAGAGACATACTATGCATCAAAATGTAGGTCTGGGTATTGTGATTCTCACAATATAAAGCTCTTCGCTGTAGGATGTATAGTTTTTAAAATACGACCGTTTGAAGATGGCAACCGCCAAAATACTCTGACCTGTGCCAGGCTGGAGCAGCAAGTGATGTCATAGACAGGGCCTTTTGTACACCTGCTAATGTTTTTATAAATGTATGTTTTAATGTAACTGTGAAGCACTTTGGGCAACAACGTTGCAATTAAATGTGCTATATAAATAAATAACAGTTACTCCACCCATTCCAGTTGTAAACTACTGGTGGAGGCAAGAAAACTTCACACAATTTCCCCAGACATTGTAGCTTTTCTAGTGATTCTTATTATAGCCAAATTTACCACCCTAACTCCTCCCACAGTTTTTATACTACATAGACCAAAATTTACCAAAACGTGGGGATTGTTCCCGATTGGATTGCTATTACTTTGTGGAACGTTTCGCCGAGGTAGCCGGTACACCTGCTAATGTTTTTATAAATGTATGTTTTAATGTAACTGTGAAGCACTTTGGGCAACAATGTTGCAATTAAATGTGCTATATAAATAAAAGTTGCAATGCATTTCTCACTCTATCAAGCTTGCCACGTGCACTTTTTAAATTTGATCAATCAATTGGTTAGTGTAATGTTTACTATCTTTACTCACTCCAAACACTCCACACAGTTACTCTGCCCAGTCCAACCTTTCCACAGTTACTCCAGCCACTCCAACCACACAACAGTTACTCAAGCCACTCCACCCAGTTACTCCCCCCACTCCAGTTGTAGACTACTGGTGGAGGCAAGAACACTTCACACAATTTCCCCAGAAATTGTAGCTTTTCTAGTTGAATTTGTTCTGGTGAGTAAAAATCATCCCCTGCAGGTATTTTAATCTGCTTTTCAGAGAAAAGGCAGTGTTTACATTGCCCCTTGGGGATACCTCCTGTGGCCACTCCTCTGATGGCCACTAGAGGTGTTTCCTGGCGCAGTGCTGCACAGTATGCAGCACTGCCATCATGGAGATGTTATTGTTGGCTGCATTTTGCAGTAATCCTGTCTGTTTAATTTCAGGGAATTAAGACCACTGACACGCATGCTGCTGCTAGACCTCTCGGTGGTACAGAAGGACAAATTGTCTGAGCATTTATCTGCGAACTGTAAAATATGACCTCATCTGTCTGACATTCTATTTACTAACAGTTCTTAAATCCATCTTTATGTGAAATAAGCTGCAAATAGCCAATATGTTTTCATTCTTTGGACACTAGACATAAATTAATTTTTATATCCTACAGTAGGGTTGATCACTAAACAGTGTGATTTGTGTTTTGACAACTTATGATAAAAAAAAAACAGTCGTACCAAATTACCACATTATTGAATAATATTGCGTCAGACCTGAGGAAGAGAGAACAACTCTCCGAAGCTTGTTTTTTAAGTATTATGTTAGTCCAATAAAAAAAAAGGTATGATTGCATGCTGCAATACTATGGTATTTTTGGCATCTTGCCTGCTGGACTAATCCGACTAATCCAATCTACACTATGTATAATTATATAGTATTATACAGTAATTAATAATTGTATATATATATGTTTTGGTTTTTTTCCTCTTACCCCTACGCTTGGTATATTTTTGTGTATTCCTCGTTCTAAGTCCTCTACCAGAGGCCTGGTAGTCTGAGGGTTCTGCACAGTGTCTGAGCTGTTCCTTGAACTGCACTTTTCTGGACAGAGATCTCGGATGTCCCACTTGGAATCTGCCGAAGCCACTTCCCGCAACTTGGCGGGTCACAGCCCGAGTGGCCCTATGACAACTAATACTACTAAAACCTTCACTTTCTACATCCTTTCTAGCTTCTCTTTCACTCCTTGGTATTTGTCAATGTTCCTTCTTGCTGATGTCATGGTCACTGGGTATTGGCACATCCACCACCACTTCAGTCTTCCGTTCCTTGTCTACCACCATGGCATCAGGTTGATTGGCCACTACTCCCCTATCTGTCATCATATGGCAATCCTCTGATAATTAAAGAGGGTTGATAATTTTTATTTTTTTAAATTACATACTTTACATATTACATACTTTAAATTACATGCTTAGACATGAAATCCAAATATCTATCTTTATATGATGGATTCAAAAAAGTAATTTTTCAAATGTGACATCTGTTTTAACTGGTTAAGATTAGATCAATAACAAGAAAGGTCAAATGTACTTGTCATTTAAAAAAGGAACAATCATAAATAATTAAAACAATTCTAATTAAGCTTGCTTCCTAAACAACACAGCATTTTGCAGCTGGACTTCCATTTAGATAAACTTATAAGGTAAGACCGCGATCAAGGCTAAAATTCTATTAAATGTTACCCTATTACGCTGTGACATCATTCTGCGTCCATCCACCTACTGTAGGAAACACCTTCAGGACAGTGCGTGGCCTACAATGTGCAAACGGGTGACAACTTGTGACAAGTCAAAAACAATAGTTTACATTTCACTTTTACATATTCAAATTAAGATTTCTAAACTTCTGATTGAAAACACTTTAAAATCCCAAATCAGCTAGGAATTACCAATTTTACACTTTTATGCTAGAATAACCTTTTTATCTATCTATCTAGTATGGCTAAATTTGTGTATTTTATCTTCAACAATGGTAGTGTTGGATGATCTGTTCCATGGAGATTGTCTCATTTCTCCACGAAAGGCAGAGGCCGGGTCATGCATAGCAGGAATATACATAGGGTTATTCATTAATTTGTGATGTAGGGGTGTAATTAGAAAACACTGGGCCCCGGGGGAAATAATCAAGGAATTCTTTTTTGGCCTTCCTGGCTCCTCTGCAAGCAATGCACGTGAGTAGGTGGTGACTGTGTGTGATTGTTTCTGAGGCTTGGTTGAGTGTGATTGTGGTGGCTGGATAAATGTGAGATGTATGAGTGGAGGGCTGTGTGTGTGTGTAATATTAATAAAGTAATTGCTACTCACCTTTTTACAGGGAGGTGGAATAATCCCTAGTGGTCCTGGGGTCCTGCTGGGAAAACATCTGGTCTGCACCACAAATGGGTGCAAACCACAAAGCCCTGTCCACTGCTTAGGTTAACGTGGCACCACTTTAACTCAATAACAGCAGCACTCCGAGTCATTATGTGAGTACCTGGGACCACGAGGGATCGCTTACTGCATGTTATACAATAGGGAGGCGGGACTGCGAGGAGGGCGCTCACTAGTTAAATATTATAATTTACTAGTTATTTAATATATTGCCAGAATGGCAATGTATCACATAACTATTTTCCATGGGGAGGGTCCCTGACTGGTCTGGGCTTCCCCTAGAAGTCAGTCACGACTTCAGGGCCAGGACGCCATAGGGACCTTTGCAACCCTGGTGGTTTTACCAGTGGTGTGATACGTTGAGAATTAAAAGCAAATTTCAAATATTAGGTTAACATAGCTGAACCAAAACATACCAAAAGCATGGTATGTTTGGCCTAAAATGCAAAAGGCATTTTTAATATAGAACAAAGCTGTGGATTGTGAAGTGATTTTCAAATTTTAGGCAAAAATGAATGATGAGGAAATATTAACTTTACAGCTTCCCTGCCTCATTATCCGGTCCAAGATATTTTGATGACATGAGCATGCATTGTATACTAAATGTGTGCATCAAGAAGCTCTGAGCATTGGGGTATAGCAGGACTGCATTAACTTAATTTAAAAGGACAGGATGATTAGTTATGGTATCTGCTTGCAGATTCTGCTTTCCTTTTAGCAATGATTAAGTTATAATTGCAGAGTATTTTAGTATTTAACATATGTAACCTCTACCGTAGATTCTCATGGTTCTATTATCACTTATAAACATGTTCCCGTCACTGTTTAAGAAATTCTCTCTCATCAGGACACACATAAACAAATTATATCCATAACAAACAGGTACAATAGGATTTAAACTACTTTGAAGCTTCGAATGGGTTAAGACCATCCAGGAATTGACATTAAAAAGTGAAGAAGGTAATAATGTGGTAAGGACGATCAATAATGGATTTCAACAAACTCCTGTTTTGCCATCCTGATAAAGGACACGATCCATTTTCCTTTTAAGCATAATGGTTTCTTAGTACAACAGGCCAAGATGTCACACAGGGCAGAAGAGCAGAACGTCAGGGCTGTGTAAACCTCCAAGCGAAGCATTCGAAGACTCGACAGACGCCAGTCTTCTGCAGGTGAACAGCCAACCACTAAAAGCTTTATAGGCCTCGCCAGTTTTAAGACCCTAAACACATCTATAATTAATGCACTCAGAATACCTTTCAATATGCAATGTATTCAGTTCCTCAAGGGTTAAAGGTTTCTCCTCGAGCCTGGAGAAGAGGAAGGAAATGCCCAGTAACGTAAAACAACCTTAAATATTAAGCCCATTATGGACCAATGACTGTCCAGGTCATTGCCCCTTAAATACTACTTTATCATGGTATGTCCTGTGCATCAAAAATGATGCTGGTAGTTTAGGGTTAAAATATATATAAAAAAAGAACTAAAACCAAAAAAAAAAAATCTATGTACTATGACAGTCAGGAATTCATTGCAATTCTATAATGTCTCCATTTAAAAATATAAACTAGAAAATGGCAAAGTTTTGCCCAGACTGCAGTCATAGATCTCATTTTATAAAGGACCCCGTGCACATGTTAGTATAACACTGAAAGAGGTGGTGTGTATATGTCTAAGCTGTTCTTATAGGCCCAGCTCCCCTACATTATGATCCCATCCACCATGTTCTAAATCGAGAACATTCTAAACCCACAGACTGTCTCTCTACCCTTAACAGAGCTTGGCTGACTATGTGCTAAACCCTCCAAACAATCTCCATTTTCTCTCAATACTCAGATTTGCCGCACTTCCCTTAAGTTCATATTATACTCCAACACAAACCCTTATAGAACCCTACAGCGGACTTAAGCGGCACTGTCACACCGAACGTACCTTTCTCCTATCGCTTCTTCTCTTCCTCTCTCAGAATCTGTTCTTCTTTTCTTAATGTACATCAGCAGATGTCATACCTTTCTTTACTGCACCCCAACAGGGCTTATATCCGTAAAGAACCCAAAAACTGACCAATTGCTTAATTGTAACCTCAGACTTGATACATTTATAGAACCCCAAAACTGCTTTACTATACTATAATGGAAACTTATGCTTCAAACAATTTAGTGAACTCAAAAACGTCCTAACCTCCCCCTTTCTACCCCAAAACATTCTGTACCCTTATTTACCCTCAGAATACCTTATGCCTTCATGTTCATTTACTGCATCACCAAACAACCCATCTGCAATTAATGTCTACCTTTTCAGATACTCTTACATTACATTGTCTTTGTTTGGTAGTAGATGACTGTGGAGATCGCAAAAGGGAATTTAAGCTCAATGCTTGCTTGTTTCTCAGTTAACTTAGAGCCTTAAGACAAATAAACCCTGTATTACAACACATTAGTGTTACATTAATAGCAATATCATAGGATATGTGTTTACTCTCACCTAAAAATAAAAAATAAGGGTACTTGGCTATAATACTTTTGTGGCTGGGACACAGCACTGCCGAAATTCACCCTTTAAAGAAGAAACTGAATCTAGGATTGAGAGGTGTTAAGGTAGAGGGGATATTTAGGGTTATGGTGTGTATATAGGTTCCATTTAGGGTGACTTTTGGCAACACTGTCCTTTCCTTGCTGTTGCATTCAGGATAGAACAGGGGCCAGTGCAGGTGGTGTAAGACACACTAACATAACTTCCATTGTTTCATAGTAACAATATAGCTCACCTCTATACTAAGCCAGAACACTAATGATCACTTGCTATCAATTTAGGTAGCTGTTTAGCTCATTGTATTTGATTAATGGAATTGTTGAACTACTTACTTTTTTTTAATGAGTATCTATTTTACGTTTTACTTCATTTAATTTTTTTCATGCTTTATCTCCTCTCTTTCTCTCTCTCTATATATAGCCATTAAAAAAATAAGCACACAGTAAATAGCACAGCTATTTATTTAAAATCACAAAACTCTGAAGTGTAGGAGAAGGCAAAATTTACCGGTAGGTTAAAATCTGGATTCTAAAATGGAAAAGTTCCTGGATTAAGTCACAGCTTGGTTATTTTTTACAATATTTTTAGATTTAAATTAGCAACAATTCAGAACTAAGGAAATGCATTTATTACCTCTATCTTCAACCAAACAAGGCTCTGTTCTAGCAGTGTTCTTATAGAACCTCCAGCCGCTTCAATATCATCTCAATAGCTTAACAACGAGATCATGTTTGCACAATACCATTTAATACCATAGTGTGTACTACAATGCTCCAAGGATAAACTTGTGAAGTCTCCCTTGATTTAAGATGAACTGCAGCTGTGATTATAAGGATTTGCAAACAAAAGAAATGAAATCTTGTACTGAGTGAGTTTGCAGCAGTTTGGTAACCCATGTGTAAATAACACTTCCATACTGTAGGTGGTGCTATCATATAAGAATCTGCTTTGGTTCCCCATGTACGATGCCCAATTGTATTAGAGGGGCAGTGACCATGGGTGTGTGACCACACGTCTCCTAATGATACATCTCTATGATTTATATCATACTGATCATCAATTCTTAAGTTTGTGAATAACTAAAGCCCATTGATTGTGCTAGAATTGGGGATGTTCCAACAGCTCTTTTTACTTTGGGCCTCTTACAACCTAGAGCCACAATAGCACGTAAGCTCATCTTCCCCATCCAAATTTTGCACAAGGACAAACAATTGAATCCCTGCAGCTGAGAACTAATTAGTGCAATGATGGACTAAGGCTCGTAAGCTAATTATCTCTACAAAGCGTTGAGAATCTGCTTTGAAAGTGATCTTTCCATGAACTGTGTTGGAACAGAGAAGCAGAGCGTTCTTTTGCCAAAACAACCGCAAGGCTTTAACAAAACCTAGAGAAACGATGTTTCACCTGTGTCAGTTCTGCGTCTATACGTTGCTAGTGCCGATAGTTGTTGGAGGATAAACAGGTCGTATTGTGATTTCTCCAGAGTGAAAGAAATATGTTTGGTTTCTTCTTCTTATTAAGCTCAGCTGGAGAAGTTTTCTTTTTATCTAAAATGAGCGCAGGTGTGGTATACAGCTTTGAAAATATGCCCTAGACCTCTTCATTTGTGGCCTTTTCAGATATCTTCCCCCAGTTTTATTCTTTTAGGCCTCTTTTTTTTTGGTCTACAATTCTCCCGTACATAATTCTATTTTCTGTTACTTTTTGTCTTCTATTCCCACCTTCCCGTGCTGCAAAGTTATTGGCTTTGCAGTTTCTGCTTTGAGCTTATGCCAAACCAGCTCATCAGTCATGACACTCACTTTACAAGAGTTCTAGGCTGGCGAATGTCAATTCTATGCATGTTACTACGCACAAGTAATAAAAACCACTATGAACAGTTTGTATTCTAACCTGGGGTGTGTTGGGTGTTGCTGCCGGCTCTCAGTACCATGCTGGAAAATGTCACAATGCAGGGCTTAGGAACCTCAGAGGTGGAGTATGCACCACACAGTCCTAGCACCACAACCACTACAGAAAGTTAAGTGGAGTGGTCCCCATAGCTTATATTTTAGCCTTGTGGTAAAAAAGTATCTGAACATGGTTTGAGCACTTTTCAATTTTTTTTTTTTTTTTTAATGTATCCCATAATAAACTTGGTAAACGTCCAGGTATCTAACATTTCCGGTTTTGTTTTCGTGACTAGCTGCATACCATCAAGTTTAAATAAGTATTCCAATTAGGTATTTCATTTTCATATAGGATATCTAAAGGCTGGATTATTTTGATAGATTTTTCTGACCTTGGTTAATGAAAAACTTGATTGAATGTTTGTTATTATGAATTAAATATGAACATAACAATTAAAATCAATTTAGGAGTACTAAAGATTGCTCTTTTTAGTATGTATGGTATAAAACTCTATTCACAAATGTTTTAAAAAAATTATCATAGCCTTGCCATAGCAACCATGCAATCAATCAATCTGTATTCACAAGAATGAATCCTAGTTTATTATGTTGGGTGTCATTGGAGAGCTGGGGGTACACATATGCCCCCCATAACCTTGAAGAGATGCTGCTTTAGGTTACCAGTGCAGTGTTTCCATAACACAAATTTCCCAGACTGACATTGTCATATCAGCTATCAGGGGTGGCCAAATGCTTGATCCTACATCTCCCATAATGCTTTACTAGCCTGAGGTTCTAACTTTTGACAACCCTAGATCTTTATTCAACCAGACACCTCTACCTCCCAAACACAAAAAAAGTAAAACTTAATTTAGCCTGTAAATTTTAATTAAAAAAAAAAAATGTTCGTGAAAATTTTTGATATCTTTTGGTTTACAAAAACAATTGGATATAAAACTCTTGGCTGTAGAAGAACTGACAATATATTCGAGCAGTGGTTGTCAAGATTAGGGAGTAGATGAACTGATTGTTAATTCTATTTCCTGGACTCCCAGATCTGATTCAGTCTAAAATGTCAATGACTTGCCCCTGCTAAGAGAAGTATATAGATCAATGCCTCTGGCATTACAATTGCCCACTGAGAGCACATCTTTTCTTCTAAGGTTCAGAGGTCCTTGTTTTCTTCATTCCGAATATCATTAGTGTGAAACTTCACTTTCTTCTGGAGCCCGCTTTGACATTTTATTCATTTTGTCCCAAGTCTATCTAAGTCTTTTCCACTGCAGTAGAACATTTGCTGGTTATTTCCCCAGTGGAACAGTTTGTCCATATCCCACCAAGTTCTTCATCTACTGCCGACAAGTATCATGAAAAGCTTCTAAGGTGCGAAAATCCCTCCAGGTGGGTGGTAGACCGTCCTGCAAAAACTTCCCGCAGCGTTGGCAAGGGGCCTGGAACAGCTTGATGTAACTTCTTAACCAGGTCTGCAAAAAGGAGGGGGGAATATAAAAATAAGACACAAAATCCAGAACTTCCAAATGTCATTCTCCCTGTCGCTTCTAATACTCCAGCCCAAGGAATGACACTCCTTGGCGCCATCCCAAGGAAGGTACACTGAATTCACAGCAACAAATGTTTTTACAAGGTCAGAGAATAGCTGATTTCAAGGCTTTGTCTACAATTATATTTTTTTTTATAGTCTCAGCGATCTTAAATTCAGCATCCCATCTGGTAGCATACATTTTATTTTATATCCAAGAAAACCGCTTAAACTTACAAAAAGATTTAATAAATAAATATATGCAGATTTCCGAAGCGATTGTACTATAAATGGTTTTCACGCAATATTTTAATAACCACATAAAGTAATTTAAGTTCAGATTATGCTTTCTTGATCTGAAAACAGTAAGAGAGACTTTTTTTATTTTTATTATTTTTAAATAATGAGGATTCCTCAAAGTGATCACATCAGAAAAGAAGCAATCTTTTCCAAATCATTAAATTCACACTTTCTAAGCAAAATAACAGTTTAAAGGGATAATCTAAGCCTGACATACTTTCTCTTTAAATACCTCTAAACAATATTTTTTTTCTCTGTCACCAGTCTTTGGATGTTAGCTTGTTAACATTGGATTTTGTTTGGAGTTAAACTGTCAAATTAGATGCACTGTGCCAGTGAGACGTGGGTCAGGCAATGAATGCCAGGTGTTCTGTGCCAGCGGGATGTGGATCAGCCAACAAGTGATAGGTGCTCTGTACCAGTGAGGTGTGGGCTAGGCAGTGAAAGACAAGGTGGTATGTAACAGTGAGAAGTCAGTGAGAGACAGGTGCTATGTACCAGCGAGACGTGGGTGGGCAGTGAAAGACAGGTGCTCGGTACCAGCAAGATGTGCAATGAGAGACAGGTGGTATGGGTTAGGCAGTGAAAGACGGGTGCCCAGTGCCCTCGAGAGACAGGTGGCATGAACCAGTGAGATGTCGATGAGAGACAGGTGCTCTCTACCAGTGAGATGTACAAGAGACAGGTGTTCTGTGCCAGTGGGATGTGGGTCAGCCAATAAGTGATAGTAGCTCTGTACCAGTGAGGTGTGGGTTAGGCAGTGAAATACAGGTGCTATGTACCAGTGAGATGTGGGTTAGGCAGTGAAAGACAGATGCAAAGTACCTGTGAGATGTACAGTGAGAGACAGGTGCTCTGTACCAGCGAGATGTGGGTGGGCAGTGAAAGACAGGTGCTCGGTACCAGCGAGATGTGCAATGAGAGACAGGTGGTATGCACCAGTATGATGTGGGATAGGCAATGAGTCACAAGTGCTCTTAACTCACTGAGGTGATCCTTCATTACCGAATGCCTAGATGCAGATTGTGCTTTAGAATGATCAGCTTGCCGTTAGGTGAGAACACACTTAGCAGGTGAAGAGGTGTGTATCAAGGATCATTTCGAAAGGAACCTTCTCTTCCAATGACATTCATTTAGCAATATATAGATAAAATAATTTTCAAATTAAAGACAGGACGCTGTCCCTATGAAGGGGAATGGTCACCAGCATTCAATAAAAAACAAAAAAAAAAAACATTAAAAATCACCAAGGAACTTATGCTAACATTTTTCAAGGAATCCTCAATTTCTTTAAAACGTATATTAAAGATTCATAAAATCATAATCAATATCTAATTGTGGGAAAATGACAGTGTCCCTTTAATCTTAACCCATGGACTGACTAGAGTGGCAATCAGTCTAGGATCTGCTAAGTACACAATATTAACATGGTGTACATTTATGAGAAGGATTGCAGGATATTATTATTATTTATGTTTTTATGTAATTAAATACAGTGCATTTTTGGATTATACTTCCTCATACACTGCAGATTAAGAAATCACAAGAGGATTTTGATCATGCTCAATATTACAATCAGCTAAACCTGAATATTTCTGTGTGTTTGATCTAGAGAAATGAGACAATAACGTGCACTATCAGGAAAAAAAAGGAAGTATAAGTCAGACAGACGAGATGTATATAAAGCTTGAATATTATTCTGTAATGTCTCATTTCCTTCAGTCGATACAAAAATGAAAATCTGGTTCGGCTACAGACTTGGATATAAATGTTTCTGTCTTCGGAAAGGCTCTTCCCTGCAGTAGCTGTCAATAGTCGCTTGTACATAAATCAAAGACTTAACAAGATGTGAGAGAAAGGAACTTTAAGAAGCAGCCAACCAATCGGAAATGGTGTACGCAACAGTTTTTCTTTTATTCAGACAGAGGGGAGCCACCAATATACAACATATCAGCATCGCTGAATTAAATGGACACTATAAGCATCAAAAACACTTCATTGTAATGCAGTGGTTTTGGTACATATATGCTGTTCCTTATTTGCTGCAATGTCAAACATTGCCATTTCCAAGACAGAGAACCTGCCTCCGGGGGCTATCAGAAAGCAGCCAGTAGAGGTACTTCCTTATAAAGACCTTAGAAAATGATGATGCCAAATGCGGTTAACGCTTCTCTAAGAGAAGCATTAGGCTGACAAAGCATTTAATTGGCAGAGCATGGCAAGAAGCACTGGATTAGACACCAGTCATCAAGGATGATGGCTTCAAAAGATGAGGTTAATGGGCTTTTTTTGTACTTTACGTAGTGGCTGCCCTAGACAGGGATGCCAAGCAATGGACTCGCACAGTGCTTTTAGGAGAATTTTCTTTGGTGTTCCTATATCACAAATCATTTTGGCTCAGGTCATTTGGCAAAAGAGAATATAGGAATCAAGGAAATGTATATAGTGTATGCCCTTTTTAAATCTTGTATATGTAGCTATTGTATGCATTTTTTTATATTAGCAGGTAAAATTATATTAAAAAGGTTACTGCAATCATCATAACCACTACAGACCACTTTATAAATTAATTATAAAAGTGCTTACTTCTCATAGACTATTTGTAAGATGGAATTAAAAAAGAATACTGAAGACCTTTATAGGTGTAGAGTTGGCCTTTAAAAAACTACTATGCAAATAACAAAGGTAAAGAGTTAACTCCCCAGCAATGCAGGTGGTTAACCTGGTGCCATTTGTCTAGCCAGTGGCCCATTTAAACCGCTATGTGATTAAAGAATGTTCTCTTAATTCTGCTGGTAATTAAGACATAGCTGTGCGCGGCAAGCTCTGCTGCTCGGCTGATTGGCAAAGGGGCCAAGATATTGACACATTCATTGAGCTTCTGTCAGATGTTTAGGTACAAGAACTCAGCTGGAGGTTTAGACAATCAATCAAGCAGCCCTCCCTTTGTGTTCACATACCAAGTATCCGCTGCTGGATGGGAGATCAGATCTTTTCAGGTTCTTTTAAAACTTAAAGTGGATAACCCACCTGCAAAATGTATTTTCCATTAATAATGCACTACACCGTGTCCTTTAATAAGTGATAGAGTTTTACGATACAAACATATTACAGGTATAATATTGCTCCTGCAAAACTCTGCTTTATCAGATATTTTTTCACATTTTTTTGGAGGGTGGGGGCAGGGGGGTTTATAAG